AACTACTCTAAAAATAGGATGGGCACAGCTATATTGAGTCAAGAAAGCCTTATAAAAAGACATCCTTCAGGAATGAATCGTGAAGCAGGGTACCATGCGCAATGCTAGAATAGGAGAATAATGGTCCTGACTGTCCCCCAATCTCATACATGAGGTCCCTGGCTACTTGGTTAGGGGTATTTTTGCTTGAGAGGTGACACAAGAGCTGTGGGAGAGAACTGAATTTCTATTACAGTTAACTCTTCCATGGATTATCTACTTTTTGGATTATTTCTAGCACCTTCCAAATCCTAAAGGGATTTTCCCCTACCATTCAGCAGTCTTCTGAGTCATCTCCCAATCGTCTTCAGTTGGTAGGAGTTCAAGGAATGTAAATTAGTTTTCTATTAGCCTAAACAAACACAATTAGAAAGGAAAATCCCTTGAGGCAAAGAACACCTATCAAAGCCAAACAAATTACCTCTGACCATTGTAATCAGAGAAATAAATGAGGAACCAATGTAATTATCTTTTTAATCTCTAGAGACAGTGTTTTAATGTTGTCTTTTCTAGATTTCTTCAGTATTTTATAATCCTAATGTTCTTTTATATTCATCTTAAATTACTCATTCTGCAACCTGAGCTGGTTCTCTTGTGGGCAGCGGGAAAGTAGATGAGCTAACCTCATTTATTCTAAATGCCCTTTCCATCCTTGTCAATGTACAAACATGGTAATTTTATGCGCATATCTTTTTTTGTAGTGACTTAACCCACATACATATTATTTTTAACATCACTATGGCGTTTTCTAATAGCAGCTGCCGTGTCTACAATGAGTCATGCACTCTATTAGGAATTTTATACATATATTATTGTACTTAATCCTCTCAACCACCCTACAATGTAGATGTAATTGTTTTTCATGTGTAAATGAGGAAATTGAGGCTGACATATTTCTGATGAGTAAAAGAACTCATAGAATATGGGGAGTGAGACACCAAGTTGTCTTATTCCAAAACCACCATCAACCCATAATGTCCTGCTTTCCCCTATCATGTGGATATATTATGGTTTAGCTGATGCCCTACTATTAGACATTTTGAGTTATCTCTGATTTTGTGGCAGTCATAATATCTTATGAAAATTTTTTTGTAACCTTTATTTTTTATTTATTTTATTTTATTTATTTTTTTTTTTTGAGACGGAGTTTCGCTCTTGTTACCCAGGCTGGAGTGCAATGGCGCGATCTCGGCTCACCGCAACCTCCGCCTCCTGGGTTCAGGCAATTCTCCTGCCTCAGCCTCCTGAGTAGCCGGGATTACAGGCACGCGCCACCATGCCCAGCTAATTTTTTGTAGTTTTAGTAGAGATGGGGTTTCACTGTGTTGACCAGGATGGTCTCGATCTTGTGACCTCGTGATCCACCCGCCTCGGCCTCCCAAAGTGCTGGGATTACAGGCTTGAGCCACCGCGCCCAGCCTTTTTTTGTAACCTTAATCATCCTGGGTCTCATGTAGCTCAGCCCCACCAGACTCACCTAGCACTGCCCAAACGTAATTTTGGAATGAATTCCAGGCGGATGTGGTGGCACGTGCCTGTAGTCCCAGCTACTTAGGAGGCTGACGTGGGAGGATCCCCTGGGCTCAGGAGATTGAGGCTGTAGTGAGCTAGGATTGCACCACTGTACTCCTAACTGGGTGACAGGGCAAGACCCTGTCTCTAAAAAAACAAAATGAAATAAAAAATACATAAAACGAATTCCAATCCAAAGAAAAATCACAAGAGATCCAGTTCAAAACTCCTAGCCATATTCCTCCAATGTTCCTGTGCTCCCCAGTTCTCCCACACTGACTGCTGCAGGGGCTACCATCGTCTCTGGGAGCCCGTCGAGTCCCCGTCAGGGCAACCTTCCAGCTGTTCTTCCTCTCTCTCCTCTCTCTTTCCTTTTGAGTCTTTGTTTTATAGATCAATTCAGTTTCTAGGCCCAGTTCCCCTGGCCTTAGCCATTCTGGCCTGGTTTCTTTTTCCTCATTTTCCAAAGAAACCCATCCGAAAGAGCTGGGAAACAAGTCTCCTTGTATGGGGGTTGGAGATATGGATTGTGTAGAAATAGAGCAAAGAGAAATCAGGGAAACTCACACATGAATCAGTTGTATTCCTGTGGTCTTTACAGTTAAAATTTTTTGGTTTTGATTTCATTTTAGAGTTCTCCTCCTTCCCACTGGAATGACAGTCTCCAAAGTGAGATTTGTGGATCATTGAATAAATCTATGATAGTGGATAGTTTTAATTAGGAAATATTGCTACTGTTAAATTTTTTTTTTTTTTTTTTTTAGACGGAGTTTTTGCTCGTGTTGCCCAGGCTGTAGTGCAATGGTGCGATCTTGGCTCACTGCAACCTCCACCTCCTGGATTCAAGCAATTCTCCTGCCTTAGCCTCCCGAGTAACTGGGATTATAGGCATGTACCACCACACCTGGCTAATTTTTTATTTTTAGTAGAGATGGGGTTTTGCCATGTTGGTCAGGCTGGTCTCGAACTCCTGACCTCAGGTGATCCACTCCCTCGGGCTCCCAAAGTGCTGGGATTACAGGCGCGAGCCACCGTGCCTCTACTGTTAAAATGTATGGAGAGCCATTGTTTTGGACTGAGCTCCTATACCAGGCCCCAACAGACCAAACCAAACCAGAATAGAGGCATTCCCACATAATCAAACGGAACTTTATAAAGGGCCAATTTAAATTAAAAATGAAAAACAGAACCCAAAACCCCCTAAACAGGAGATTCAGAGCAGCCAATCAGAAGGGCCCAGTTTATCTGAGCCAGCATTGCAAAGTTCCCTCTTTTTTAATCTTATAAGGAAAATAATTCTGAAATAACCAGTATCCATTTTTTGTTCCTTATTTCTGCTTTTTTTTTTTTTTTTTTTTTCTTGAAGCAGAGTCTCTCTCTGTTGGCCAGGCTGCAGTGCAACAGCGTGACCACGGCTCACTGTAGCCTCCACCACATGGGCTCAAACAGTTCTCCCACCTCAGCCTCCCAAGTAGCTGGGACCACAGGCGTACACCACCATGGCCAGCTAACTTTTTATTTTTTTGTACACATGGGGTGTTGCTCAGGCTGGTTTTGAATTCCTGGGCTCAAGGGATTCTCCTGCCTCTGTCTCCCAAAGTGCTGAGATTACAGGCATGAGCCACCACACCAGGACTTTTTCCTGCTTTCTTCAATCCTTTTCTGCCCCTGAAGCCGACCAACCTCCTCTGCTCAGCTGTTATCTGTTCTTTCGATGGGATGCTACCTGATTCACGAATCACTAATAAAAGCCAATTAGATCCTTAAACGCAATTTGTTGAAATTTTGTTTGTTAACACTACTAATTTAAAAAATATCAGATTGACCCTTGAGAAGCCAAAAAGAAAAAAACCATCAAATAAAATTTACAAATACATTGTATAACTGTAATGGAGTTAACTTGTTTTAAGGCTTGCATAAAATAAATTTTTGCTTTATATGCCTTTTTAGGTAGTCAGTGTATTTTATGATTACAACTAAAAGTCATTATAAAATTCTGTTTATAGCCAGGTGTGGTGGCTCACGCCTGTCATCCCAGCACATTGGGAGGCCAAGAAGGCGGATCACAAGGTCAGGAGTTTGAGACCAGCCTGGCCAACATGGTGAAACCCTGTCTCTACTAAAAACACAAAAATTAGCCGGGCATGATGGCGCTCACCTGTAATTCCACCTACTGAGGAGGTTGAGGCAGGAGAATCACTTGAACCAGAAGGCGGAGGTTTCAGTGAGCCGAGATCACACCACTGCACTCTAGCCTGGGTGACAAAGCTAAAAAAAAAAAAAAAAATCTGTTATAATAACTGTACTGAATATCTGTATGTGAAATGCAATCATATACAAAAATACAACCAGCTCAAACTTCCCTATTTTCTCTTCCCCAGTGGGCCAGGGAAGAAAAGAGAGATGTAGACTTCCAGTAAAGTGGCTCACTGAGATGGCAGGTGTTCTGCCCTTCCTTTCTTTTGGTTTTGGCTGGTCCCAAGCTGCTCATCCTTGGTCATTCCCTGATTTTGGGTGGTGTTCAGGGGATCTCCGAGGAAAATTGTGAAGTCGCCAATTGTTGCCCGTACCGTGACTTCCTTTGGCATTTACGTCCTCTCTTCAAGTCCTCCTTTATCAGCACACCCTCTCCCATCGTGTCAGTCATTTACACACTAGTGAGAATTTACCCTGATACACTTTCCTTCTGAGGGATATTTGCATGTGATACTTTATCCGATTGTGAATACAGGGTTTGTTTCAGGTCCTGCTGTTTTAAGCACTGATGGGATAATGTAGAAACTATTTGTGGGGGGAGGAGCTGTGTATTGTTTTCTTTCGGAATTGTCTTTTATAAGCAGATATATTCTTAGTTTATGAATATGGCCGTCTCCCAAGTTACATGGGTGACTGCAGGTTTTTTTTTTTTTTTGAGATGGAGTCTCGCTCTGTCACCCAGGCTAAAGAGCAGTAGCACGATCTCAGCTCACTGCAGCCTCCACCTCCCAGGTTCAAGCAATTCTCCTGCCTCAACCTCCTGAGTAGGTGGGATTACAGGTGTGTGCCACCACACCCAGCTAATTTTTGTATTTTTAGTAGAGACGAGGTTTCACCATGTTGCTCAGGCTGGTCTCAAACTCCTGACCCAAGTGATCCACCCGCCTCAGCCTCCCAAAGTACTGAGATTACAGGCATGAGCCACTGTGCCCGGCCAGTGACTGCAAGTTTTGAGGTCACACGCACTTCTGTGTGTACACTTAGGTCATGCACATGCTCCCATATACATGTGAGAGAAGACAGAAAGATGGCAAAGCACGGAGTTTGCTGATGAGGAAAATGAATACTCGATTTGCACCAGAAATAAACCACTAAACTCGCTTCCCATAGCATTCTCATCTCTCACTCGTAATGAATCTGCGATCAGACTAAACCTGGAGATTTTTACATTTTGTTTTGTTGTGTGTTTTCAGTTTGACAAGTGGACAGACTCTCAAAGAAGAAGAATCCTCACGGGCCTGTTGGAGCGCTGCTCGCTGTCCCAGCAAAAGTTCTGCTGTCGAAAGCTTCAGGAGAAAATTCCAGCAGAAGCCCTGGACTTTACTACCAAGCTTCCAAGGGTGTTATCTTTATACATCTTTTCTTTCCTGGACCCCCGGAGCCTTTGTCGTTGTGCACAGGTAAAGGCGAGGAAGGGGCGTGTGGTGTTTTGTGAGGACAGCCTTAGGAGACTTGAAACTCGAAGAAGTTAAAGGGAAACACACACATATGCACACAAATACGCACACACAAACACAATACATGCATACATACAAACAAATACACACACAAATACACATATACACATACACACAAACACACACATATATACATACACAAATATACACAAGCACACAAACATGCACACATATATACATCTATACACATATACACATACAAACACATGCACACACAAACACATAGACACATCTACACACACAAACATACACATATACACATACGCACAAACATGTGTATACACATAAACACACACATATACACATACACAGACACACATAAACACACAGATAAACATACATACACATACACAAATACAAACACACGGACAAATACAAACACACACATATACACACAAAACTAAGAAAGAGATGAGATGATCAGTTTGTTTGTACAGTTTGAATGAACCTCCATCATCTTTGTGTCCTACTCTATTTAGAACTCATGGGGAAAAAAGTATAAGCCACATTAGTGTCCAACAAAGAAGTATTAGCTGGCTGGGAAATACATACACACGTAAGAAATGGTTAGGGCCGGGCGCGGTGGCTCACGCCTGTAATCCCAGCACTTTGGGAGGCCGAGGCGGGTGGATCACAAGGTCAAGAGATCGAGACCATCCTGGTCAACACAGTGAAACCCCATCTCTACTAAAAATACAAAAAATCAGCTGGGCGTGGTGGCACGTGCCTGTAATCCCAGCTACTCAGGAGGTTGAGGCAGGAGAATTGCCTGAACCCAGGAGGCAGAGGCTGCGGTGAGCCGAGATTGCGCCATTGCACTCCAGCCTGGGTAACAAGAGTGAAACTCTGTCTCAAAAAAAAAAAAAAAAAAAAAAAAAAAAGAAATGGTTCCTCAGCAGGACGGACTTACACTGCCCTGCATTCAGCTGCAATAAGGTCCTTAATTGTAGAGCTCAGGTCATTCATGAATAAAAAAGCTCCAAATAAGTGCCTAATGAAACAAAAAAAGAAATTTAAAAAAATAGGTGCCTAATGAGATATGTGCAAAAGAGAGCGAGATTAAAAGAGATGAGTGTACGGGTGTGCTCACAGAGGCCTTAGAAAAGTCGTTGATTGTTATTATTTTTTTCTTTTACAAGTAATTCCATTCTGTATTAAAGTGAAGTTAAATTATTTAAGATATAAAACTGGCAGTCATTCTTTCGAGTCTTTTCATAGAGTCTGGCAAGACCAGAGATTACCTGCCAGTGTGCATTCGTATAGGTGTGACATGTTAACTTTAATTTTTAAAATGAAGAAAATGAATGCAGGAGGAAAGGTAGGTCTGGGTGTGGTGGCTCACACCTGTAATCCCAGCACTTTGGGAGACCAAGGTGGGAGGATTGCCTGAGCCTAGAAGTTCAAGGGTAGTCTGGGCAACATAGGGAGACCTTGTCTTTACAAAAGAATGTTAAAATTCGATGGTGCTGATGTGTGCTTGTGGTCCCATCTACTTGGGAGGCTGAAGTAGGAGGATTACTTGAACCCAGAAGGTAGAGGCTTCAGTGAGCTGTGACTGTGCCACTGCACTACAGCCTGGGCAACAGAGTGAGACTGTGCCTCAAAAAAAATGTATTATTCAATAAACGGTGTAGGGATAACTGAGCAACTCTCTGGGAAAAAAATTTCAGTAGGATAAAAGACAGATGAAACCAAAGGAAGCCATTAAAGACCTCAAAGAAAACAGGAAAGGAAGCCTTTGTGAATATTCCATGATATCCCGAAGACTTAAAAGAAAATACACAATTTAAAATCTTGCTTGCTTCATTTTATGTATTATGAGCAAGAATGAAGAAAACAGATTTTGAAATTGTGACTATAAAAATTAAAATATTCTTCATGGTAGGCCGGGTGCGGTGGCTCAAACCTGTAATCCCAGCACTTTGGGAGGCCGAGGCGGGTGGATCACGAGGTCAAGAGATCGAGACCATCCTGGTCAACACGGTGAAAACTCATCTCTACTGAAAATACAAAAAATTAGCTGGGCATGGTGGTGCGTGCCTGTAATCCCAGCTACTCAGGAGGCTGAGACAGGAGAATTGCCTGAACCCAGGAGGCGGAGGTTGCGGTGAGCCAAGATTGCGCCATTGCACTCCAGCCTGGGTAACAAGAGCGAAACTCCATCTCAAAAAAAAAATATATATATATATTCTTCATGGAACAGAACACCATAAATAAATCCGAACAATAAGCAGGGAAAAAAATTATTGCATGTAAAGGGCTAATTTCTTTATTTTTTAAAGAACTCTTATAAATCTATATTAAGAAAAAAAAAAAAGACCAACCACCCAGCAGAAAAATGAGCAAAGGAAATGAACAAGTAATCTACAGAAAAAGAAAGGCAGATGTCTCTAAAATCTGTAAGATGCTTAGCCTCATTATGGCATGCCATCTTTCATGACTCAGATTGAGATTTGTTTTAAATGAGAATATTCTATATTGGTGAGGCTGTGGGGAAACAAGAACTTTCATATATTGCTGGTAGAGAAATTGATGTAACCACCATGGAGAACCATTGGGTAGTGTTAAAATTTCAAATAAAAATTCCCTTTGCCCTAGCAGTTCCAATTCTTGGAATTTGTCTGATGGGTATCCTGCAACATGGTAAAAGCCATACCTGTGTAAGAATATTGCAGCATTGTCTGTCCTGGCAACAGGTTGGAAACAAAGAAAATGTCTTCCAGGAGACACTGGGTAAATCAATTGCGACTATCTCCAAGATAAGGCATCGGTTAAAAAAGAAAAAAGTAGAAGTGTAGAACTGTCCTACCATTATGAAAAGAAAAAAGGCTAGGCACAGTGGCTTGCCTGTAATCCCAGCACTCGGAGAGGCCAAGGCAGGCAGGTCACTTGAGGCCAAGAATTTGAGGCTAGCCTGGGCATTATGGCGAGGCCTCCATATCTACAAAAAATTAGCCAGGTGTGATGGCACATGCCCATAGTCCCAACTACTCGGGAGGCTGAGGTGGGAGGATTGCTGGAGCCCACAAGGTTAAAGCTGCAGTGAGCCAAGATTGCAGCACAGCACCCTAGCCTGGGCAAGACAGCAAGACCCTGTCTCTACAGAAAGTTAAAAATTAGCCAGGTTGGACAGGCGTGAAGGTGGCTCACACCTGTAATCCTGGAATTTTAGGAGGCCGAGGTAGGCGGATCACTTGAGGTCAGGAGTTTGAGATGAGCCTGGCCAATATGGCAAAACTCATCTCTATTATAAATACAAAAATTAGCCCAGCATGGTGGTGTGCACCTGCAGTCCAAGCTACTTGGGGGGCTGAGGCAGGAGGGTTGCGTGAATCTGGAAGATCGAAGCTGCAGTGAGCCGAGATCATGCCACTGCACTCTAGCCTGGGTGACAAAGTGAGATCCTGTCTCGAAAAAAAAAAAAAAAAAAAAAAAAATTAGCCAGGTATGGTGGTATGCAGCGCCTGGAGTCCCTGCTACTTGAGAGGCTAAGGCAGGAGGATTGCTTGAACCTAGGGGATTGAAGGCTGCAGTAAGCTATGATTGCGCCTCTGCACTTCAGCCTGAGCAACAAACAGGGTGAGACCCTGTCTCAAAACAAAATTATATATATATATATATACACACACACACACACATATATACATATTTGTTACTATATGCCTAGAATGTTTCTGGAATGATGTACCAGAAACTGGTAAGAGTTAAGAGTGGTCTCATCCAAGGAGAAGAATGGGGGTCTGGAGTTAGCGATAGGAGAAAGACTTTCTTTGTTTCTTTGAATTTGGTATTAATATGTACATATCTATTCCAAAAATGAATCTTTTTTTGAGACAGATTCTTGCTCTATTGCCCAGGCTGGAGTTCAGTGGCACAATCTCGGCTCACTGCAACCTCCACCTCCTGGGTTTGAGCAATTCTTGTGCCTCAGCCTCAAGTAGCTGGGATTACAGGCGCGTGCCACCACACCTGGCTAATTTTTGTATTTTTAGTAGAGATGGGGTTTCCTCATGTTGGCCAGTCTGGTTTCAAACTCCTGACCTCAAGTGATCTGCCCACCTCGGCCTCCCAGAGTTCTGGAATTACAGGCATGAGCCACCACGCTCTGCTTGAAATGATTTTTTAAAAGAGCATAGCAATCTGGATGTCCAGTAATAGGGTATCATACAGCCATATATGGTGCATTTTTATGCTACCATTAGTAAACATGCTTTGTAAGAAGAGAGATGCTATGATATTTAAAATGAAGAAAGATTTTTAAGTTGTATATAGAGTTTCTCAATTTTTTTCTATATATACTTCAAATAAAGACTGAAAGGGAAAAAACTCTACCAGGTTATCAATAATAGTCATCTCTGATTAATGGGGCTATGAGTTAAACTTCTCGGAATTTTTCACTTTCCATAAGGATAACGTTATTATTAGAGGGCAATGTTATTTGAAATAGCTGATTCTATCATCTGTATGCACTATAAGTCATATTTGCCTCTCACTACGGACTGTGGGGAAGACGCAGACCACCATTTTTCAGCTAGATTTAAAGTAAACCATATAAAGTCATTGCTGTTTTAAAAAGATGGAAGGGGCCGGGTGCGGTGGTGGCTGATGCCTGTAATCCTGGCACCTTGGGAAGCCGTGGTGGGTAGACCACAAAGTCAGGAGTTCGAGACCAACCTGGCCAATATGGTGAAATGCCGTCTCTACTAAAAATACAAAAGTTAACAGGGCGTGGTGGTGCACACCTGTAGTCCCAGCTACTTGGGAGGCTGAGGAAGGAGAATTGCTTGATCCCGAGAGGCGGAGATTGCAGTGAGCTGAGACTGCGCCACTGCACTCCAGCCTGGTGAAAGATGAAAGCTTGTAGAGGAATTGTGGCTTGTACATATGAAAGCTCCTACTTACCTTTCAATTGTCTTCATTCCTCTCTACCTTTAAACAAACAA